ATCCCATTTAATTCGAATTTTCTGCCGTTGAAAAATTACATTTGTTTGTTCTCCGGATATTTGATATTTCCATCGTTGGTTAGCTTTGAAACAAAATCCTTTATTTGGTTGCTGGCTAAATGAAGACAATGGCGAAAAGGTTTCTGTTACGTCGTCATTGGCATCCAGTTACACATAAGCGCTGAGCGCTGATGTTCCATCTCGTTCTATTATTTAATTTAATGGAACAAAAGGAATCACGAATAGGGCGGATTAGGGACTTATTTGGTTTTCCACCTGTACAATATTGATTTGTTAATAATTTCAGTACTTTAGTGTAAAGGCGGCTGGTATCAGAAACGTGCCAATGTGAGTTTTAGTTAAAGTAGCAACAAAAAAAGTTTGACTGTTCATCTGGTCCGCTACTGTCTCTGATACGAGGGGATATAGAAAACAAGCGCCTAATTGTGCAAACGCTCTTCTAGAATCGCTTAATTTAGATCTATAAAAACTGCATTTTTTTGGCTTGTGAATATCTGAGAGGGGTTTGAACGGTTTTGGTATTTAGCCAGAAGTATTGCGAAAAACTTAATTTGAACTGTAGTTTTCCCAAACCTTACATTTTCGGATTTGGGCTGTATTAAAACAACCAATTAGTTGCCAATAAATATTGAAATTAACCGTCTCTTGAATGGCGTTCGTTAAGCACTCGCACATTTGATTCAACAGTTAGGGGAGTTGTTTTGCAAATGCCCTCGTATAACCGATGTAGTCGAGCAGATGAATAATCGCCTGGATACGAGCGATCGCACGTTGATATTTTTCGACGATCTTTTTGGTTTTTTAGGCCTTAAATTTAATATAGAGGATTTCGGTTGAACAAGTGAAATTCTGTGGAATTTCCAAGAAAATCGCTCGTACAAATTCGACTACCTGAGCTTTTTGTGCACCAGCTGCGGACGACGCATCGCTGATTCTGCAAAGTTGCATCCTTTGTTGCACCTCCGCTTCCAGACTATATTTCCTTTGATAAATCGAAACTCCTGCCTTTGACGCTTCTATAATACAGTCCGCATGTCGATATGCATCGTTTCATGGAACTGTATGTACCGGGTGGTCCAGTTTGCGTAGCAAACAATATTTGAATTTATCTGAAACGAAATTATGCAGGACTTAATCGAAGAACATTTTGCAACAAAAATGCGGATTTTTTTGCAAAGAAAAATTCAGGCCAGCCTCTGCTCGTTGGCAAAAAGCGGCTATTTTTGCGCAGGCTAATTAAATCTGGAAAAATGCGAGCGCCGACCGACCGTAAACAGTGACAAATAGAAAGTGGCCTAGAGCTACGGGGCGAGATTGGGAGTTTTTTTTTCGTCTTTTCACAATTCGGGCCCTGTTTTCCGGGCGTTTTTCTGTTGCTGCCGGTGACGCTTCGGGTCCAGCGAACATTTAAATAACCCGCCGCCGAGGATCGCAATTCGGACGCAAATGGTATGAGTTATTACGGTCTGGATATCCCTTCTTTCAAGTGTGGATAAATTCAGCTGATGGCTGAAGAAGTTTAAGAGCAGCGCGAATTTAACTTCGAGRAACTTTTCAGCTGATGCAGTCGCTCCCGCTCCCGCTCTATCGTCGCTCAAAACTGTTTTTGTCCACTTTGCTTGCCTGGAGTTTTATACGCAAAAAAAACAAGTAGGGAGCTTTTTGATGAAACTAAAAAAATCGCAAATCTGAAGAAACGCACTGAGTCGTTAATGCCGAAATGAGAAGGCCATCCGACAATGACGTCACGAAGGCCTAACAGAATCAAGAAGACGCTAATTTATACAACACGTGCTTGCATTTTGGTGGTGGTTTATTAGGCTTGTAATCGACAGGCTCTAAAATTAAGATCCAAAGTGTGTTTTGAGTGTTTTATATCTGTGTTTTTAAAATAAATATTGTAAAAATGCCCTATAAGTGCTGTGTACCAAAGTGCAAAGGAAATTATATTGGCGAATCAACAGTGTGTTCAGTTTCCCAAAGGACGATGGGTTGTTAAAACAATGGCTGCGAGCAATAGCTCGAGACAATTTTCAGCCCACGAAAAACAGCAAAATTTGTCAGAAAACCAGAAAAAACAAGTTGCAACCAGGTTCGATTTCAACCATTTTCCCCAATTGTCCTTCTTACATGTCAAAATCGAACTCAATAAATAGGCAAAGTAGAGATAAAAAAAATGAATTACTCGAACAGGAACATTTACGAAAGGCTTTCGCAGAAAGTAAAAACAGTTTTCTCGCGTATAAGAAGTCAGGAACGTTTGAAGATTTTGAACAATTTATGTATATTTTCAACTCTTGGTCTCTCCCTGATGAGTGGCATAAAACAATGACTAAACAAAATCAACTAATTCTATTTAAAATTGATAATTCTCCTGGACCGGTTATCACATACTCAGTTACTATAAATTCAAATTTAAAATTAGAAACTTACTTATTTGAAAGGGAAATTTTTCTGCAGGTTGACAAATTTAAATCTCCATGTGTTTTGAATGACATCAACATTTTATCTAGTTTATTAGAAGAAATTAATAATATAGCAGTTAACAAAAGTGACGAGTCAACTATTAAACAAAACCAAACGTACCAACGCAGCTTAAATCACATTTGTAACATTTAAAAAGATTTGAATTGTGAAGAAAATAACCTGTTAGTTTTTGTTTCTGAACAGCTAATTATGGCTACACAATCCAAAGTAAGATATCAATATTCACCCGACACTATAATTCTATGTTCGATATTAAACACAATAAGTTCACACAGCTACAGGTATTTAAGACATTACAGTGCTTTAATTTTACCACACCCCAGCACATTGAAAACTGTCTGTAATTCTTTTGTAACAGATCCTTCTGCCGAGGAA